TCGCCTGAGAACCTACTGGATTTGCCCTGCAGAGAGCAAGGGGCGAGGCCTCTGGAGACACCAGGGCTCCCCACCACTGACAGAGATTTTAGAATGCCGAGAGCGAATGTGTGCAAGCCCCCTGCTTGTCTGGTCTCTGGGATCGTGCCATGGGGTCACCCCCGGACAGTGAAGGCGTGTGTGGTGGAGCAGCTGGTCTCAGAACAGCCAGCTGCTGAGGCATGGTCTGACTTCCCGTGGTGGAAACGCAAAAACGTAAAAGGATTTGGTTTTTCATGTCTTTGGTCCTGGGGTACCCAGCTCTTTGGGGTTGAGGTCTCAGGCTGTGGCATGGGGCTGCTGATTGGTACCTAAAAGCTGCTCAAACACCTAAAAGGTGTTTCTGTCCTCTCCCTGGGGGAGTCAGGTGCCCTGCTGGAATGCCTGTACATGGGGGGGCAGGGGATCTTCCAGGCTCCCCATGTCCCGTGCACCATCTTCCGAGATTTCAAGGTGGTAGAGCTCGGAGTTAAGACCACAGGCTCTGAAGACATCCCCAGATCTGATATTTCGTAGCTCCATGACCGTGAGCATCTCTGAACCTCAGTTTCTTCACCTGTAGAATAGAGATGATGATTATACCTCTCTGGGTGTGGTAAGAATTAAATGCTGCAAGATAAATGAAGTGTTGCGTAGAATGCCTGGCGCGTAGGAAAGTCTTGATAAACTGTTATTACTGTTGGCCAAAGGACAGAAGGAGTGAGACCCGACACTGAGGTTGTTGTTGATGCAGTCGACACGGAACCCTGCACACGTGTTCTGACTGATTTTGTGTTTTCCCTTTAGTCGGTAAGTGGCCCTCACATTCAACATGAGCAGAAGAGATTGGTTTGGTCTTTCTGCCACATAGTCTGGAAAGAAAGTGTTCTGAGAGCTATAGACTATTGCAGACTTTCGTTTTGGGAACTGTACCTCAAAGAAATAATTCTAAATCGCTTTTTTAATAACTTGTAAAAAAATTTTTGAAAAGTCAGACAGTAAGTATATAGTAAGAGAGTAGCTAAATAATTTACGGCATATCAAAGAGAATATTACGTAACCGCTTAAAATGACCAGTATGTGGGAATTAGAAATGCATAAATAGAATAATGGTGAAAAAGAGTATCAATTGATTACAGCTTGTTAGTGCTTCTTGTACAAAGAATGAGAAAATGTGGAAGGAAAGTCCTTTTCTCTAAAATTGCTTCAGCCCTTAAAATAGTTTAAATAGTGATTAAAAAACTGCAATGTTCTGTCGACTCTTTCTGGGCCGGGCAAATGGAATTAGAATAATTACAGGATCTACCTAACGCAGTCCTTTGACCAAAAGAGGAAAAATGAGGAAGCCCAAAGTCGGTGAGGGCTTGTATCCGAATGATTGTGCTGTGAATCTGGAGCGCGTAGCCGGAGGCGTTCCACCTGCATGGCCACATCTGCCTCCAACAAACCTAGACCCTGACTTCTCCTATCACCAGCCCACCCACCTCTCTGCCAAAAGACAGAACCGCGCAGGTTATCCACAGGCGGGGCTTCACAGACCAGAGAAACATAGGTTGAGTAGGAATTGGATCTTTCTAAAAATCTGTTCATGCTGCCCTGCCCAGGGCATCAGGTCCACCCATTTTCAAAAGCTTAGCCGAGGGAAGAGAAAGGCTCAGCTCCTGGGTGAGGTTCTGATCGCTCTGACACGGGTTCCCCACTTTGAATTCTTTACTTTTTTTTTTTTTGAGGAAGATTAGCCCTGAGCTAACATCTGCTACCAATCCTCCTCTTTTTTGCTGAGGAAGACTGGCCCTGAGCTAACATCCATGCCCATCTTCCTCTACTTTATATGAGAGATGCCACCATGGCATGGCTTGACAAGCAGTGCCTAGGTCAGCACCCAGGATCCAAACCTGCGAACCCCAGGCTGCCGAAGCGGAGCGCAAACTTAACCGCTGTGCCACCGGGCCGGCCCTCCACTTTGAATTCTTACAAGCCTTTCTCGCCTGCACCAGTGGCTGGCAAGCTCATTCTCCTGGCTCAGGGGACAGAAGTCCAGAGCCCTTTGTGGGATACCGCGAAATAGTGATGGATTTAATTCCGTCTGAACAACAAGGAATGGTTTCACAAGTAGGAAATACTGCTTTCATCTGTTTATTACAATACAAAATCACCCATTAAAAAAAATTCAGTGTGAAGGGCTCTCTTCCAGTTTTGATGAAGATTGTCTCCTATGCAACTTGTTCCTTCAATTGGTCATTTAAGAAGAATTTATGGAACTAAAATATAAAACCAAGAAAAAAGCTTATCCATTGCTGTGATTTTTTTCTGAGTTTAGCAGCAGAACGAACGTGTTGGCAGGGTCACGAACCAGAATTCTCTGGGAAGATGACTTTAGAATCGCTGCTCTGGCCCGTTCCTTTTGCCCTCTTGGCACCCTTCCTTGTGGTTTATCTTTGTTTACTTGTATCATTTTGAATCCTTAGTTTAGCACCATAAAATGCCTCTTCCTTCGTTACCCAGGCTTCTCTCCCCACCGGAACTGAGGAATATTTCTGCACAGCCTTCCCCCCGCCCCCTCTGCCAGCTTGAGCGAGTGATGATAGCACGGGAGTGAATGAAGGCTGCAGAAAAATCCAAACAGTAGTGGCACAAAGCAAAGTCTTATTTTAGTTTTGGAAACCTCTGCCAAAAAAGAAATTGCTAAGCAAGACATTTCTGAAGGGCAGGAGGAAGTAAGGATTTGAAGGGAGAAGACTGCTGCTGTCTGAGCATTGCCCTCTGCCCTGCAGGCTGATAACTGATAACCCTTCTAACTGATAACCTCGCCCACCGGCAAAGAGATGGGCGAGCTGACTTGCGAGGCACTTCTAACCTCCAGTGGCTATAAGTCCTGCACTTCCTAATTTCCTGGCTTCAAATCTTGGTCACAGGACACCCCATTTCCTGCCTTCCTGAGAAGCGGCTAGGCCCCTGTGCACGACCCGGAGGCCCCATTCCTCGCGTAGCCATTGGCCCTGACCTTGGCACGTCACCTCCCCTCTCTGGGTCTTCCTTGGCCGGTCAGCCGTGAGGAGGGTGGAGACGCCTGGCTGCTTCCTGCCTGTGTGACGGGTTTGCAAAGGCCAGGACACTTTTATAAAGGATGAGTTCCTCCAAGGAGGATCCTGCCCGAGTGAAATATGCCAGCACTTCCACTGTAATCCTTGCTGTACCGTTCAGGAATGGTGAGGGGTGAGCAGAGAAGGAGCAGGTGTCAGGATGCCTCATCTTTATGATAATGGAGCGGAAAGAGGCCTGGGCAGCCATCTGGGGACCCGCTTCATTTTGCAGAGGAAGATGTGCGAACTGAGACGGCCGAGGTGGGGAGCTCCAGGCCGCCAGCCTAGGGACGCGCTGTGGCTGGAGTCGGAGCCTAGACCCCCTGGGCTCCAGCCCTGGGTTCTCTCGACTCCATCAAAACAGAGGCCCTGGAACTAGCTGTTAGTTCCCAAACCTTCAATAGGATGGCTCTGGGAACTGAGCGTCGTGCAAGGTCTACTCTGATTCAGTGAAAACAAATTACCCAGTAAAGTTATTGCGTGGAGACAACCTGTGAACACAGGTCAGGCACGAGTACCCAACCATCAGAGGGGCCTCCAGAATCCACATTTCCCGCCCAGTTCCCACTTCCTCAGAGGACTAGGGTCAGTCGGCTTTGATGCAACCTGGCAGCCAGTTAGTACGAGGAAGCCCAGAGAAACCCCAAAGTCCCATCCCGGGTGGCCGGGGTTAGTCTGGCTTTCTTCTCCCGGGTCCGGGGATGGGGATTAGCAGCCGGAAATCTCTCACAATGAGAAATGCCCGAGACTCGTCTTGAGGGGTGGAAGGAGAAAGTGGTCTGCGTCTCTGCCTCCCACCTGTCATTATCCCATTCTGTTGAGATTTCCAGATTCTGACCTCTGGTTCTTCCCATCAGGACGTGGGTGATCATTCCATTTATTTATTCCACGTATGTTAATGCAGCACTAACTATCCATGGGGCCCTGTAGTAGGCACGAGAGAGTCAGAGGGGACTGAGCATTACCGAGCCTTTGTCTTTTGGGGTCTCGGATTCCTTCCTGTAACTGTGTGCAGAGTTTTGGGGCATGTGTAAATGTGCCTTTTTTCTTGGGGGGCGGATCTGCTACCCTGTAAGAGTTAAGAATCACCCTAGTGGGTGTGCGCTAGAACTTCATTCATGCACCTGCTGTCCTGGTCAGCATCCTCATCCTGCCTGTTGAGTCTAGACCACAGGGCTGACCGAGCGTGAACAGGTGGGGCGTGTCTGCCCAGAGCACTGGTGTTTTCTGTAGGACCTCAGGAAGCCTGCCTGCCTGCCCAGGTCCAGGCCCCACATCTGTGGATTCTGCTTCAAGGGTTGATGTCATCTTGCATGTCCTGGCCCAGCAGCTGTGGTCCTGGACCTCAGTGAGCCCTGGAGAGGCCACTGTGGCATGTGAACAGATGCTGGACTGCTTTTTGGCTCTCAAAGACGCTTTCCTTCAGCCCTCTGACCTTAGGGCTCCTGCTGGAGGTCAGGTTCAAGAATTTCCCGTCTGTTCTCTTGACAGTCCTGCCCTACCCAGTGGCCTGAGGGACCTCGTGGCCTCTGAGTCGCTGTCTGGGGTCCCCTTTGGCTCTGTGGTTATCCCGCTGTGTTCAGGTGACACCTGGCGTCCCTATGCTAGTCCTGTAGAGGGTTTTACAGAAGGATAGCCTGGTGAATGCATCCCATGAGAACCTTGGCGTCAGTTTAGCATACTGTCTGATGCCGAAATCCAGGATGTAATTGCTGCGGGTTGATGGGATAGGAGCAGAGGTCCAGACTGACGGTAGTCGGAACCGAGGCTTCCGGGAGGCCGACATCGCAAGATGAGCGCTTTTCTCTCCGCCTGTTGTGAATGTGAGTGTGCACGAGTGTGTGAGAGACTCACTTGCTGCAGGGGACGGGCTGAGCTCTCTTCTTTCTCCCTCTGTAGAGAGAAGACACGGTTCAATGTGCAGGCCGTCTCCCTCTCCAGCATCTCCGCCCTCCAACTCCAGGACGTCCCTGGTCCAGGTGAAAACAAAGGCCTGTCTCAGCGGCCATAACTCTGCCAGCAGCATCTCAAAGCCATTCAAAACGCCCAAAGACAATCTACTTACCTCCAGCAGCAGACAGCACACGGTCTTTTCTGCGAAAGGATCAAGGGACAAACCATGGTGAGTGTCGGGTGCTGGCGGCCAGCAGCTGTCTGTGCTCATTGCTTGTCCCTGTCACTGCGGGAAACGGTGTCGACCCTCTGACTATGTTCCTGGGCATCATGTCTAGGAATTTGGGGAAGTGAGGATGGAAGGGACAGAAAAACCAGTATGATGGGATGAGAAACCCAAACGCGGGGGGAACGCGGGAACTGAAATATGCCTGGCAGGGGACTTTTTTCTGCTCCTGAGAGCTGAGCTGCGTTGTGTCTGAGAACGGGGTAACAGGGAAATAGTCCTCACTTAGATGGTCACCTCTCAATTTTCCGCCCCAGTGAAGAGAAGCCTCCGTGTGAATAATCAGAAGCACAGACTGGCGGCCCAGCGGGGAGCACGGCCCAGCGGGGAGCGCGGCCCAGCGGGGAGCGTGGCCCCTGGAGGCAGGCCCCCCACAGTGCCCCCCCCGCCAGGACCAGCTGGGGCTCCGCTCCACAGAATAGCTGCCAGCAGAGGCGGGTAATTGGGAGCTGACCACAGAGGGAAGACAGGAAATCCGCAGAGTGTCACCCCTTTGATGGGGTGGGAGATTGCTGCTTGCAGGGGGCTGTGAAAAATCAGAGGCTTTTCATTCATTTTTTTTTATCTCAGTCTTTACCAAAAAGTCAGGAAAGGTTACCCGTGGAATGGACAGATAGGAAAGCAAACTGAAAAAGAGGACAGGAGGCAGAAGATGAGCGTCTTCCAGCGCCGCCGGACCCACCCTGGACCACTTGAGGCCTGGCTTCTTACAGCGCCTCTAGCCTTATTTTCAGGCCTCGGGCAGGCAGACGAGGAATGACTGTAGGGTCCATCTCATTTACGTCTTTAAAGGGAAAAAGTGTTCTGGGACGTAATGATAGTTGATTGCACTTAAGCTCGTACTTAGGAAAGCTGTGGACTAAAATCATCCATCAGTTGGTTTGTCACTGCACGCTGGAGGTTAGGATGACCCTGTAAGGAGCTGGTGGTGCCAGATCAATTAAAGAGCCCCTTGTGATAAAATGAGAAGATTTAGACACGACATCAAGGCCGGGAGTCACTGTCCTGCAGGGGGACAGGCTTTGTCCTCTTCTGATTGCTAGAATCTCGGGTCCATCCTGCAGGAGGACGGGGCTGGTTAGGGAAGATGCAGGCTGAGGGTGACGGCTGGTGGCTCCAGGGTCTCCTCCAGGTCAGTGGCCTCGGAGGCCACCTGCGGGGTTGTCTGCCGAGGCAGCCTCAGGCGTCCCGATGTGCGCACAAGCTCGGGCAGCCCTGCCTGTGTGCAGATGTCAGCCAGGGGACTTTGGGCAAGATGCTCAATCTTGCTGTGCCTCAGTTTCCCTCCTCTGTAAAAGGGGCTCATAACAGCTCTGCCGCACGGGACTGTCGTGAGCATCCAGCCCGCTCACTTTTATAACAGCTGCCAGCACAGTGTCTGGAGCCGAGAACGCTTCGATAAATATTTGATGATAAGGTTATCGGTGTGATTCTCGTGTGCGCCCAAGGACAGAGCTCCTGCCACCGGGGTAAAGGTCGAGAAGTCCAATCTCTGGAAAAGGAAGAGAAACAGCTCTTCGGACCCAGACTGAAGTTGAAAATGGAAAAGGAAACGGTTGTTCATTCTGAGTCCAGAAATGAGCTACAGAGAACGCGCGGTGGGGAAGGCTGGGACGGTTCGGCCTGGGGGTTCCACTGGCTCAGCCGCAGTGCCGGGCGGCTCCCCCAGAGAGCCATGAGGAAGAACGAGCACTGAGCATGGGGCCAGAAAAGCCAGCTCAGGTCCCGGCTCCACCACCAGCTTTCTGTGTGACCTTGAGCAAGTCACTTAACTTCTCTGAGTCTTTTTTTCAAGCCTGAATATTTTTTGGTTCTAAATCACAAACCTCTTAAAAATTCTCAAAAGTTCCTCATTGCCTCCTGAATTGAGTTAGGCCCCTAGCCCAAAACAAGGGAATGTCTGCAATCCAGCACTGATCCAATCATGGTCACCCAGTACCATCCCGTCACTCCAGCTTCCCCACCGTGTCTCCCCGCCACGTTTGCCCAGAACATCCATCTGTCCTTACTCAATGTGACACTTAATGAGCACCTGTTGTAATACTGTGTGCCAACTCTATAACAAGCCCCAAGGATGTACAGGGCCCACCGATGTCACCTACAGCACCTTGGTGCAAGTTAGAAAAAGTCCTAGATACAGCTCTGTACCAGAGTGCACAGTTGGCTAGTGGTTTTCATCCTCAACCAGACATCCTAGTGCAGTGCATAACCTGTACAACTGTACACTGCAGCCCTGGGGATGCAAAGTTAAATAAGACACAGACACTGTCTTAGGGAGTCTGTAAAAAGAGACATAAGCTGACACAGAGTACGATGTGATAAGAGCTAAGATATTAGAGCACAGAAGAAGGGCGCCTAACCCAGGCTGAGCACCCAAACGGTTTTTCATAAGAAGTCACACTTGGCACTGAATTTGCAGGATAAGTAAGACTAAGCTAGACCAGGAAAACCAGATGAGAATGGTAAATGTTACGTTATATATATTGTACCACAATCAAGAGACTTTCTTTAAGAAAGTGGGAAGGGTGTCCCAGGCAAAGGTAACAGAACGTGCAGAAGTAGTTCATGTGGGGAGAGGCAGGAGATGAAGCTGGGTAGGGGGGTGACCCTGAAGTTCCACTGTCTGTGCCACGTTCAGAAATTCGCGCTTCCCCCCAAAGGCTGCGTGGCACTGTGAGAGGAGCAGATTTCCGTGGTAGCGAGCTCACCCTGACAGCAGGAGAAAGGAGGGGTTGAGGGGCCCTCAGGAAGAGCGAGAAGAGTGGAGACACTTTTGTGTGATGTGGGCGAGGTGTGGTGACAGCCTGGACCCAGGCGGCGGTTGCAGGCACATGCCAAGGGGCCAGGTGGGAGTGAAAGGCAGGAGGACAGTGCCACAGCCCTCGGGGCTGGGTGCACGTAAGGCATGCAGTACACGGGGAGAGCGTGGGATGAGGTCTGGGGTCCCGGCCTGGACAGCTGGTGACTGGTCCTCAAGAAAAGGGCAGAAAGGGCCAGAGGGAGCCAAGACTGCTAAGACAAGTGTTCTTTCCACAACAGCCCGTCCCTTCTTTCCTGGCCCCAGTCCTCTCTGTGCCTCACTACCCATCCCATGGGCCACCCTCTTCTCGAAGGTTTTATCCTCGAATTGTGTAGACTGGTGCCGCCCAGCAGATATATAACAGGCGCCATGCATGCAATCTGAAATTTTCTAGTAGCCACATTGAAAAAAGTGAAAAGAAACAAGTGAAATTAATTTTTAACAGTGTTTTATTTAACCTAATGTAACCACAGTATTGTCATGTCAACGTGTAATCAGTGAGATAGTTTACGTTCTTATTTTTTTTTTCTTGCTGAGTCTTCAAAGTCCTGTGTGTTTTCCACTTACGGCACGTCTCAATTTGGACACTAGATTGTCATTGGAAACACTTGATCCGTATTTAGATTTCATAAAAAATTAGCAGCCGTAACATAGACTCACATATCCAAGTTGTTCCCATATTACTTTTCTGATAACTGCGTTTTTCTAATGACTGAATCAGGTAGCTGTTTTTAAATTTTAATGAATTAAAATTAAGTAAAATTTGAAATGCACTTCCTCAGCCACATTTTAAGTGCTCGATCGCCACAGTGGCTGGTGGCTCCTGCATCAGACAGCACAGATCTGGACACGTCGGCCCCCTGCCCTGCGGGGTCCCTCCGGCTTTTTGACTCACAGGCGTGTTACGGTGGCTCCTCACATCTCTGATGTTATGCCCCCAACAGGAGCTGCTAAATTCCGAGGCCGGGTGTGTGGTGGGGACAGACCCGCAGGACCCAGTAGGGCCTTGAAGAGGCCCAGCCCCCCACACCACAGCAGCTCTGTATCAGCCCCTGAAGGCCAAGAAAGCGTAGGGCTCGCCTGCGGGCGATGGCTGTGGCCTTTAGATTAGATTAGACAACAGGTCCGGGGCGCTCTTTCCCAAGTAGCTCAGATGCCCAGGTAAAACAACAAAGCACCCTCCTGGGCTCAGGTGCCCTCCTGGCGTCTCACATGGGTTCAGTGGTCTGTGGGTTTCTTGTCTTCTCCCTTCTGTGGCTGGGGAGGTAAAAAAAAAATGACTCTGCATTAGGAGAAAGGGGGAACCGGAGACAGCATCCCCGTGGGGCCAGGTTTGTGCCCTGCAGAGGTGCCTGGCAGTGCTCGCAGCTCACCCAGCACCCGTGCTTTCACCCTCGCTTCGCTGGGTCATTGTCCTGCGGGTAGGGACCATCCCTGGGGGAGCCAGAGGCCAGAGGATACCCTGCCTGACGTCCTTGGAGCCCGTAAAGGCGGAGGAGTGGGCAAGAAGGTTCTGTCCCCAGGTGGAAGTCAAGAGGGAAGGATGACTGGCTGTTTTGAGCTCAGACAAGCATCTCAGACTTGACTTCAGAGTCCCTGCTCAGCGGGGGAGCAGCCCCCTGCCTGGGGGCCGAGCCAGCCAGGCTGACTTTCCCACCTGCTGGCCTTTTGGCTGCCCTGGTCCAGGAGGTGAGCTGATGGGGGAACTCAGACCCGAAAACCCACTGCCGTGGGCAGGCGCAGGGAGGGGCCGTCCTCCCCGGCAGGGAGGGCCCGCTGCCTTCTCTTTGGGCCTTATCAACCCACACGTGTGTGCTGACTGCTAAATATGCTCAGCTATTAAAAATGCAGGAGACGAGCCTGCTGCTCCAGAAGGAAAATGAGCCAGAGCAAAAGAAAAGTCAGCAGGCTCCCTGGCCCCCTGCATGTGCCCGACCAAACACGTGGGGGTTGGGGGGGGGCCCTCTTCCAGTGGGAGGCGTGTCCTCCTGGTGTGTGGGCGGGTCTGGGGGTGGAAGTGCTCTGGAAGCCTTCCCCCTCCCCCGCTTTACGGAGAGGAAATGATGACGAGGACGCCCTGGCCCAGCGCCTTGGGAGGCACAAGGCTTGCTCATCACTTCCTGGTGTCAGCACGGACCAGGGC